TATACCGACACCGCATTACCAAATCTCCACGTTCGACCATTTGTTTAAGAAGCAGTGGTTTTAATTCTTACCTTATTAGAACGGAAAAAAAAAAAAAAGGTATAGTATTTCTTCTATCCTGGCCATGTCAGAATTAATATGGGTGACACTCACGCGAAGTGTTAACATTAAAGCGGAACGATGGTTACAGTCCGGGTGGAGAAGGAAAATCAAGATAACTTAAATTGTGATTCAAATTAAACCAGTCTTACTAGGAGAACTTAAATAAAAACCTAACCGCAAAAAAAATTACATTTTTTTATTTTATGCTTTTTATATGGCCATATGTTTTGTATCTAAATAAAAGAATCATCACATAAGAAAATTTTATACCCGACAAATTCGCACAAAAAAAAATAATAATAATAAGGAGTGGTTTTTGGAGCAAATCGATGCGTTGAGCTTTTTTTCTACCTCCGACTTTGTTCGTCAGTTACCTCACATCTTTTTGTTATAAAATCAGAACGCAATATATAAAAGCGAAAACTGGGAAAGTAATGTCGTAATGCTGGAAAATCAGATCGCAAAACAAAAGAATACAACTTTTTCGCTAAAAAAAAAAGAAGAAAAAAAAGCTGTTTTTGTTTTAGTATGGTGGGGTTTTGTTCTTGAACAAAAAGCTGATAAAATTGCAGGGATTTTTTTTTTTTTCGCATTGTTTTTACTGATCGAGCATTGATCAAACAGCCTGTCGTGCTTAAAAATGCAGATAGTGATAAATAATCAATATTTGCTAGCTACAGTGATATTTGTCTGATTTAAATAAAATAAATCTGACAATTTTTTTTTAATCTGATTTTTTTTTTTTTTTTTTGCCCACAGCAGAGCGATTTTTGTGGGAAGTGTGCACACTGCGTTACACTGTCAACATAAACAAACGATACAATTTCTTTTTTTACCTTTTAGTGGTTGTTATTAAAACTACTAGTTCGGTGGAAAAAATTGCTCATTCGGGACACAAACTTCAGTGATAAAAGTTTGACGCTGATCAACCCTTTCTCTAAGCAAAATGCGAAAAATCGCTTCGTGCTAACTCCGTTGCACGGTGAGAGAAGCCTAAAACCTGCTAGCACTACTGCTATTAAATGATAACGACCACTTTACACATAACTTTAATTCAAAGTGAGCTTTTCTCCGGGTCTGTCAAAAGACTGGTGAACTTTTCTCCGGTCCCGCACATAAGTGGGTGAGCTTATCTCCGGTGAGCTTATCTCCGGTGAGCTTTTCTCCGGTGAGCTTTTCTGCTCGATTCGGAGGGAACACCGACCGAAACAGTTCAAATAAACCCGAGTCCCTTGACACACAGGTACACGAAATAATATGGGCAAACACGGCTCGGCGATTCGCGCGCTAGACTTTAGTCGGCTCACAGAGGTTCTTACTGGTTTAGCTAGGTGAGCGTGTTGTTATTATGAATACTTAACGTAGAAAGAATAAAAACACGGAGGAGTTTCACAGACAACCATTCTTCCATTTAGCAACGACGAATGTTTATTCCAAGCACCGGAAATACGCGTACCGTGAAATAAAATCTGGCAGTCGGCTAAAGGCTAGCGCATGGATCATATGGATCACTGACCCCAGAGTTTTTCCTGGCTCACATTATCGTACGCTCTCTTGGTGTCCAAATAAGCTAACCATAAAGGAGTTTGGTTCTTCATTGCTATTTGTATACATTGTGTGGTGACGATCGAATAAGTTATCTTCCAGTCTTTTATCTCTTCGGATAAGAGAGATAAAAGGTTGCTCCCATTCCTGGCCGACTAACTCTTGTCAAACGTTTAACGAGGAAAAGTTAAATTAGACGGCAGGTGGATTACACGACCGCACGCCGGTACCGCGCGCCGCTCATCCAGATCGAAATGGGTATGGTTTCCTTTCACACACTCAACTATCGATCTTTTTTATGTATATATTGCAATCAGCCATACCTGGCAGTGGCGCCTACTTATAGAGATCAAAACCCCCAACAACATAATTCACTTTCCCTCAATCTCTCCTACAGAGGTCCGCAGCGGAACCGTTGAGTCATTCTCTATAGAGAATGAGATGCAAACACAGATAGACAGACACCCTGCAAACTAATGATTTCCTTACACACACCCTTGTTTTTCTGAAGGCGCCCCCTTAATTCGCAACGACTCCTCTAATCTCAATCCCCCCCCCCCCCCCCCCCCCGCCTCCTAAAAATTTAGATTCCCCCCCCCCCCCCCTCCCTTCCCTGCTGCAAACTCAGAAACTGGTTACCTTCTTTGTTGAGGGGGCACCAGTCTTATTATGTTCTGGTTGTTTCTTTGTGTGTCTTGGTGTATTGTGTCCCAGCAAAGGGAAAGTTGCGCGGTCGGTGAACTTGTGGGCCTGAATAAATCTTCTGGCCAGGGTTGTTAGGTAGTTTCTTGCTCAAACCGCCAAAAGCCAGACGGTGTAGCCCAAAAGTAGTCAAATGCAAGATTTACGTAGCCCAAAAGTAGCCATATTCTCTAGAGCCCAAAATATTGTGCGCCCGAATGTGCGAGCTCCATTCGAAGGCACTGCGTGCACATATCTAGGGTTTAGGAGCAGCTTGCAAGATCTACGGCATCTTGAAATGTATTGAACGTTTTATTTCAAACACAAAAGTAACAAAAGTTTCCACACGCGTTTTTACAGTCGCATAGTTATGAAGCACTCGCTCGTGCCCGGCTTACTCGCCTCATACATGATTTCCGTGTTAAAACGGGCAAAAACTTCTTCAGTAGGGCTGATGTCCTTACACAACTCATTCTTCCCAAAGAAAGCAAACTTTACATAGAGGACGTTTTAAAGAGTTAGAGGGGACATGTTCTTCTTTAGGCCCGACTTTGTGAGGGGCACGTGATTGAATACTCTCTCTACGGCGGCATACGACATGGGCAGTGTCGGGAGCGCGACGGCAACCTCGGATAGCAAAGGAAACAGGGCTGCTCCTGCGCATCCATCTTGGCCTTGTTCTGAATATTCATTGTCCCAAACCTGTTGTCTTTTGTTATGGCTCATTGTACTTTAAGAAACATCCATGTTTCGCGGAATAGCCTCCTTTGTTATATTCATTACAGCACGCGTTTACGGGCTACATCAAATTCTACAGGATGTCTTGAGTTGCCTTTAGTGTCATTTTTCCTCGGATGAGGTGCTTCCTGTAGGAGGATGATGGGAAACTCGAGGAGATAAGAGACGCCAGTAGGAGGCAGAAAGAACTTGAGAGCATAAAATAAGCCACAATTAATACAAAAGCGATGTTGTCAGAGCTGAATCTAGGTCACGGTAGCTTACTTGAGCTAATAGGTTCTGGCATCACGCCCACGAATCTTCACGCAGAAAATCCCTGAAAGCGGGAATCCAGAAAGGGTGGACTGTCGCTTTGTGTCCATGCTGAAGTGTCTTTTGTACATCTACTTTAAACAAAGCACAAAAAAAAAATGTGCCACGCTAGGATTTGAAATAGCCCAAAAATAGCCACATAGCCAACAGCCAAATTTTGACGCCAAATGCTTGACGAAGTGGCCCAGTTTCGCTATTAATAGCCCAACCTGGCAACCCTGCTTCAGGCTGCGTTTGAGACATCTCATTATCCCTGCTTCTATACCTTCTAGGTTTAAGTTTCTATTTGATGTCCCTGTCTCGGATTAAGTTGCAACATCAGAAACTCATTCAGCTTCACACCACTTGCCGTAAATACACTAAAAAAAAAAATAATCAACCGCACAACTGTACAATACTCTGTTTCACCTTGTGTTGTACCGCACGAGCTCCTTGCTCTAGGGCACATCTCGGCAGCAGAAGCTTCCGTGCACCAAGGGCAGCTGCCAACGCTACGAGCTCGCGCTTATAGCCTTCGCTGCGGTACAACATAAGGTGAAACGAAGTATAGTGCTGCACCGACTGAACTCGAGTTCCAGCCGAACGCCGACACAGTTGGGACAGGTCAGCTAAATGATCCATCAAAGATGACTTATGTTTGTTATCACCGGGGCGCAAAATACACAGAAACCCGATCGCAACAAACTCGAGTACAGTGAATTAGCCCCTTATCAAACAAGTGAAAATGTTGCATCCGTAGGCATGCAAAATATATCTCGCATGACAAACTACACAATGAATACATTGAATTTCCAGTGCCTATGATCACCAGCAAACACGCCAGCTCCAACACATCCGTCGTTCGACTTCCTTACGATGCAGACAAAGCTTTCTTCTCGCTCAGCATGAAGCCTCTACTGAGTTACGTTTAGTCACGCCCTAGCGCTGTAGCCCGCTAGCAGAATGTGACAGAACTTGAGTGCGCAAGCAGTTAACGTATTGCAGACCGAGCCTCGGCATCCTAAACTTCGCTTTCCTAGGCCTCCTGCAAGCAGCGGCACGCTCTTCAGCTCTAGGACAGAGTGGACGTCATTACGGGACAATACGGCGAAACAACACTGACATAACCAAGAAAAATCTAGATAGGATGTGCACGGCATAACTTTTAACTAAATGGTTTATTTAGAAAAATGTATGAGTCAAAATAAAAACCAACACGTGCTGGCAGAACACAGTAAGGTAAGATCTAAACACACTCCCTAAGAAACCAGCGTCGCTGGTCCTGCATATAGTAAAATTGTTTGTTAGACAATAACATTCACCATGTCAAATGTGGTGAAAAAAAATTGGATGTTGCCGCCGCCTTTAGCATATACCTAGGAGCATGTCAAGTACCCTCAGCATATAACAAAGAAATTGCAAACATGCGTTATACGCGGGGCTTTGCTGTAACTAATTGTTTGGTATATTGAATGAAACTGGGCATTTTATACAGTTCGCCGTGAACAAGATTGACTGTACAACAAGCAGCATTTCACTTTTATGACGCTGTGAACACGCCAGTCGAAGATGTATTCCAGGTACCCCAGGTGTGGTCCCTGGGAGTTCCAAGTGCACAGACAGCAAGACCACGATGAACAAGATTGTCGACACGAAGCTTGTTTATTTTTTGAAGGCCCTGGACGTGGGCGCGCCAGGTCACTTCCTGTTCCTCTTGTTGCCCCCCTTCTGCTTCCCTCCTGCCCTGCCCTTTCCCCGAGCCTTGTTGTTCCCTCCTTTCCTCTTCGAGGACTGCTGCTTGCCCTTCAGCTTCTTGGGAGTCTTCTTGTCTTTGTTCCTCGATGCCCTGGAGAACACAAAGCACAAGGCTCCTACAATATGCACCACAATGAATCGCTGTCGGTTGAAGCACGGTGCCTGAAATGCTTTTTTGACTCGTGTGTTTAAGGGAAGCTGAAGCAATTCTGTATTTGAGCAAAAATAATTGTCTTCATTTGACCTCCAAGTTCACGAATATCGAGATTATTTTTCAATTTGGTGCATGGAACCTGCAGGAAGTAATTTTTAAAGCACTGCCAAAGCCCCTCCTTCCCGGAGCGCTACCTCATAAAAGGAGTTTTCGGAATCTCCGTCCTCGCACGTCTTCGGTGCCTCTAAAGCTATGCACGCACACTTTCGCTATTTTCAGAAAGGTGAGAACAAGACGTCTCGACTGGTGTCACTGTGGTGTAATATACCTGGCAAGCTCGCGACATGTGCTTGGCGGCCGTAAGGTCCTTTTACGACACGATGACTGGTCAGAGGCTTTTCGTGTTTTCTCGCGTATATGTACAGTTGCCCAATTTTTTAATAATATCACGCGAGCGTCGACCGCCGGGACGGCCAGCGCTGTGCTGCGGAGAAATGCGGCGTCACGGGAGAGAATAGGCGCGTGCGCACAAATCTCTCTCCGGTGCGAGAGTCGTCTGTTAGGCTATTGTGATGACCGCACACAGTCCCTGTTCCTTATCTGCTGGCATAGCTGACCGCCTTTAAGCAAAGATCTGAACAGCGCTTGCTTGCGTGATACTGCTCAGGCGTGAAAGAAACCGCGCCTCATCTCGTTTAATTTAGATTTTTTTTTTTTGCATTTACTTTGTCAGCACCAAAAAAAAAAAAAAATATGATGACGCGACAAGCTGAATGCAACGATGCATTAAACTTTATACCGCAGCCAATGCTACGAGCCATCAAACCAATCCAGTGCTTTCACCCTGCCGTGCGACATCGTGCTTCCTCGCGCAGTTGTACCTAACAGGAAGGCAACGTGACACACTTTTAACGATGGACTGGCCAAGATGGCTCGTAGCGTCGGCTGCGGTACAACACAAAGTGAAAAGGAGTATAAACAATCTGTGCAACGCGCTCCTTTGCTACGGAGCAGGGGCTGTGTGCGATCAGCGGAATAGCCTAGCAGACGACGCTCCCCGGAAAGGGCTTTGTGCGCACGCGCCTAATCTCTCCCGTGATGCCGCATTTCTCCGCGGCACGGCAGTGCCCGTCCCGGCGGTCGACGCTCGCGTCATATTATTAAAAATTGGGCGACTGTACATCTTCGGTGAAAACAAACGTGATATTCAAATTCACGGGATTAAAATACTCTAAAATTCCTCTCTAACTCACTTTTTTTTTTTTTTTTTTTCAAAAAGCTTTTTAGTTTTTATTAATGCACCCTAAAAAGTGGTCCCTCTACTTCCGCCAAACATCGTCGGTACGTCGCCGGCCGTGATCCTGCGACGTCGTATCGGCGGCGGTGGACGTGTCGGACGCCTGTTCTGCTGCAGGTTGCTCTCCAGCTCGACAGACCGTGGAAGCTTCAGCACCGAGCACTGGGACTTCGCAATGATGGCGACACCCGCATTCGCTTCTTGGGCTTTTTACCGGGACTAGTAGCACCAACCCCAAGGACGGCGACATCCGAAGGCGTGGCAATCCAGCTTTTGCGACGTCATTTGTGGTCACTTCGGGACTTTTCGATGCGCGGGTGGAATGGAACGGAGATGCATTCTAGGCATCGCCCCTTGGGACGGCGAAGTTGTGCAAACGACAAGGCCTACGAGACCGTTCCGTTGCTTTCCGTGTTGCTGATGCACAAGTGCGCAGAACACCACGAAAGACTTTCCGACGCTGAAAGGACGAAACGCATGTTTGGGAAGGACGACCGATCCTTCCTCCATCCCAAATGTGCGTTTTATTCTTTCAGTGTCGGTAATCGTTACGCCAACAGGCTCCTCAGTTCCGCATTGAGCATAGTTGTAAACCCGAGACTGGGGATACGGACAAGGGACAAAACACGGACAAGGGACAAAACACAGACAAGGGACAAAACACACCAGCTAGCCTGCACCCTCACCATTGCTTCCTCAGTTCCCTTTGTCAGGACCTTTCTTCAACAAAGAAAATGTTGAAGGCACCCGAAAAAGGTTTGCGATTCGCACAGCACGGTTGCTATGGTGTGTCTCCATCAGTAAAGGCAAATAAATGTCGGCAACAACCACTCCCGAGTAGAAAGTACTGAACGAGAGAAATGCACAATTTGAGCGTGTTTTTTTTTGTTTTTTAGTTCGAAGCGCGAATTTTAAATCATGGAGAGTCAACCCTATGAAATATTTTAACAGCCAAATACCAGGAATGAGATTTGCAAACCTAACTAGTAGAGATCTGACTATTCAACTCCCATTTAAATACTTGAGTGTTCGCATTCAGGGTGTCTACCAAATAGTTTTTTTTCAAATTCCCTGACTTTTCCAGGTTTTCCCTGACTATTTTAATTGAATTCCCTGACCCACAACTACCGACACCAAAACAATATATGATAAATAGACACTATTCACAACGTAAAATATTTTCTTTAAGTTAGATAAAGCAAACTTTAGAAGATGTTTAGAATACAGCATTGACCCGCGTTTACTGTTTCAGGGAGTTTGGTCCCAGCACCTGATCAGTACATCAATTTGTTGTCCGAGTTACTTTGTTCAGTGACTCATCAAAAGCAACCACCAGATATGGCACGTTAGAGAGGCTTGCAAGTAACTTGTCTTGAAAGTAGGGGGCGATATCATGACATATTGTATATCCCACTTTGTCTTTTCCAAGCTGAATTTTTCTGGCGGTCTCACACATGGGGAACATCAACGGAAACAGCGAGGCAGATGCTGCCGCTGAACGGAAAGACCCATGAGTTGTTATAGTGTTCAAGCACCACATGATCCCCGGCCTTTGTAACTTCCTTCTTCAATAAAAAGCCACCACCCACGTCTTCACAGAGGGGCTAAGAGCTTCCGTGGCGGTGGTTAGACGCATTGCCGGAGCCCTACAAGCACTATTGTTACCACCGGACAAAAAACACCCGTTGCTGTCGCGGAAGGCACGTCCGCATTTGTCGCAGTTTTGAAAAATACGACTGGGCTCTGGGAAACGCTTTGCAGATATTTCATAGCAGTGTGATGTTTCTTACCCTCAAGATGAGTAGCAATCGCCCTATTCCCCATGTTGCTCAGGGAGAACTTCTTGCAGCACATTGCGCAGTGAGCACTATTTGGATCATTCGGAATGGGCCGAATCCAACTCGCATTCGTGCATACAGTCGAACCTCGATATAACGAACTTCAATGTAACGAAATCTTCGATTTAACGAAGTATTTTATTTTTCATAATTTCTTGCCCATAGACCCCATGTATTTTTAGTCTCTATATAACGAAGTCTAAGTCTATAACGAAGTGCCATTGCCATAGAAGGCAATAAATAAATCAACTCTAAAAAACAACTTCACAAAAAAATTGTGGTTAAAAAAAAAAAAATTATGCGCAAACGCGAGCGCTTGATAGGTTACTTCACGGGGACAGGCCTTCCAACGTTCCTAGGCTGCCCGAGGATGCGGCGCCGGTAGCGCCGGCGAGGCATGCGGCAAAGCGGGTTCCGCGAGGCTGGCCAGAAAATGCCGAGCAAAAAGTTAACACGGCATACCAGCATCACCACTGACATTCACTGATAACCATAGTCCACTCCACTGCACCGCGGGTAGCGCGGGAGCCAACTTCAGCGGGGAGCGACGTGATGGCGCGACCGCACGGGCAGTGCCATCTAGGAGAAGACCGAAAAGACCGATTATCGTCTTGCGAGCGTGGGCGCAAGCGGCGCAAGCATCACTGTGGGCGCAAAGGTGGCAAGGGGGCAAGTAAACTGTGCGGTGAAGAGTGCTGTGTAGGTTGGAAACATTGGCACCGCCTAAACTGCCTAAACTAAACAGCTTTATTTTTTAACCGGGCAGTTCACTTACGTGCTTGCTGCCATAAGGAAACGTAAAGTTCTTTCTTTGGATGAGAAAGCAAACGTTTTGGACGCCATCCTGAAGAAACTGCCGAGATCACGAGCACTCGGGAAGTGCTCGACGCAATGGACGTACTGAGGAGGTACACGGCGTCGCATGGGCAGCAGGATGCCGTGCAAGCGCTCTGGGCGCTCGAACGCCGTATGACGCCGCTGCTACTGTCGGACAAGGCGCAAGCAAAACTCGCGGACTACTTCGCCCCTAAATAAATGTAATTTTCGGTGAGTTTTCATACCCGTAAAATGTTTCGGAATTTTTTTTCGCATGCTAAAGCCAAATTTCGATTTAGCGAAATTTCAATGTAACGAAGTAAATTGCGAATTTTACCGACTTCGTTACATCGAGGTTCAACTGTATGTCCGGGTTTGTCCAGTTGAGATTGAAGGAGCACTTTCTCGACAGCGACATAGTCACTTTCACATACCTCCACTTTAGGAAAATAACAAGATACAGTATAGACCACTTACAACGTAACCGCTTATAGTGCAGGACCGGGTATAACGCGGTTTTTTTAAACCACCGGTTCACCTCCCATAGAACTCTATGTAATTACATACCGCTTAAAATGCAGGCGCGCAAAGGGAAATACCGGTTATAGTGCGGTTTTTGGCACAGCCCTCCGACCGCGCCGACGACCGGAGCAGCGAGCACGCTTCCCTGTGCGACAGTAGATAACGGCGCCGACGGCGGGAGCCGCAAGGGGCACTCACGGGGAGAAGCGGTGAGAGTGGCTGCAGTTTCCGTAGCGACGGAGGGACGCACGCACGTGTCGTTCACGTGCGTGCGTCCCTCCGCTGCGTTGGAAACAAAGAAACAAACCGCAACGACAGACCAATCACAGGTCGAGGAGAAGTGTTCGCGCGCGTTGCATGCCGGTCGCGGACCCGCTGCTTCTATCCGCAAACAAGGCGTCGGTTGTGATCGTCGTCGTAGACGGCGTTCATCTCATCGTTCTGCGTAAAAGCGCTTTCCTTGACTGTGAATTTTCGTTGTGTGTCGCTATGATAACCCAGCACGTACTAGAAGGGATGATCCACCTACTCGTGCGGCGATGCCGTGGCGGCGCTCTCAAGACGGCAGAAACGCCCGTGTCGTCGTGTTTGTTTACTTCCACTACAGTGGTGCTTGCTAAGCATTTGTGTCCTCGAACATCGCCCGGATTTCTTATTTGGCGCATTTCATGCGTGTACTCAAGTTCAAGGTATTACTGGCGCGTACCGTATGAAGGATGCGAATTTTCACGCGTTTTCATCTCCGGAGAAAAGTGATTAGGGTTAGCAATCCTGAACGCTCGCAATGTCCGTCCGCAACCCGCGACGCCGTTAAAAGGCTGCGCCAGGCAAAAGCCGCTCATTTCTTTCAAAATGTGTGGCACACTTGAGACAGAACTGTACTAGTCTGGTGAAATAAAGACTGTCCTCAAACTAAGCTTTATTTTTCATCTAACATAAAATAAATTGTTTTACAAAGGTAAGTTGTCTCATGGCATGTATTTTGGCCTGAAAAATTGATGTTTTGGTTATAGCGCGGTACCGCTTATAGTGCGGATTTTCGCGACTCCCGAGACATACGTTATATGCGGTCTACACTGTAGAAAGCGCAACCCACAGCCACAAACGCACGTGGCAGAGCTCGTAGAGTACAGGCGTCCAGGTTGCGTTTACGGGGAAGCGCGAAAGCGCCATATCTGACAAACGAATGGATCGCTAGGCGCGCGCGCGCGCGCGCCTCTTGGAGGGTAGATGAATGAACGACGGTTGTTCTTTTTCAAGTGAGTGGTGACTCGCGCCACCTAGTATCGGCTAGAGCAACTGTCTCTCCTCGTACTAGAGCAACACCACCTGACTAGAGTCACGAACTAAACAAAATTGCCGCTGCTACTCTGCTTCACTAGTAACTGTGAGTAACTCTTTAGCCGCCATACTTTAGCGTTGCTACCCTAAAGTGTAGCTTATTTAGTGGCTTTAGAGTGTACTAAAACAACGACGAGTCGCCAGTTTCGCACATACTCTCGTGTGAAGCATAGCGCGTGGAGGGGGTTGTGACGCCGCACTTGACTGCGCTTGTGGCTATGCCTGCCCGTGCCTGCCGCTTCTAGCGTAAGCGGGCGAGCATGGGATAAATTCCCTGACTCAGCAATCTTTTTGGAAATTTCCCTGACAATTTCCTGACTTTTCCAGGTGTCTTAAAATTCCCTGACAATGCCCGGTTTTCCCGTTTTTTTTTTTTTTCCTGGTCGGTAGACACCCTGGCATTCCTATAATATGCAATGAATAGGAGCCCCCCTCACATGGAAAAATGGTGGCAGTTCAAGCCTCTAGAAATGACTTTTGAGGTTGGCTTCTATGAGCCGTTCTAAAGTTTCGAATATATAGACAAGACGGAAAAAAACTTACTTGACTTCCTCGTCATGAATGAAGTGGTTGACAGCCTGGAAGATAAAAAAGCGGACATATGTTAAAAGCTCGTCTTGCAACAAGAAAACTGACCGTAGGTGCTTTAATGTCACGTCAGACCAACAACTTAGTAAGGCACCAAACATGCCCCAACAGATAGCCCAAACTCCCGAAATCCTATCTGCTATCCATACACAGACTATGAATAGGGTTCCACGTTTTCAGGTCTGTTGCTCTAGGGCTGCGTTTTCTGGGCTCATTTTTAGCCTCAGAGATTCAGCACCTATCTTCTTTGCCGAAAGAAAGATCGGCATCTGTCGGTGCCGGCACCGAAGGAGACGAGACAAGGCCGTGAAACCCCCCAACCTCCAGGCAACGTCTGCGTGACCTGAAGGTGTGGAAAAGGTACCGCTACCAACAAGGGAAGGGAACAAGATAGGAGGTGTCCTTCCGAAGAAAGAAGCAGTCTTGTGGAGAGTTCATTGAGGGCTACGTTTTGGATCGACACGAAATAGAAGTGTAGATACAGGTTTCTTTCCGTGAAACTTGGGTATTCACACAGAATGTGTTTATAAGCTCGTCCCCGTGAGAAAAGCGCTACGTTCCAGCATGAAACTTCAGTCAGGTTCCGGCAGTTACTTTACATGGAGGGAACGTAGGGGTGTCATGTCATGGTGTCACATGATACCATGACATTATGACCTTGCATGACATTGTAACATCACATGACATCATGAAATCACGTGCCCTATGGTGTCACAGTCACGTGACCTCCTTATACCACGTGACATCCCATACACAGCACTTGCAAGTTTATCGGACATCATTGAGATGTGCAGATCTTTTTTACTGAAGGACAGCTCCGATTTGTGTTTTTTTTTTCAGTTTCCCCGGTTTTGCTAAAACCGACCTGAGGGAGCTCACATTTCGGGGTTCGTCGGAATGCATGGAAGCACAGAACCCTGATTATGAACATGGATGTCCAATTGCGATTGCCCGATTGACTGGGCGACCCTCCTCACCTGGTTGATGTCCAGCTTGGGTTTCTTGCGAGCCATCTCGTCGAGCACCTTGAGCTGGGACGCCTTCTCCTTCTTCAGACTTCCCATGTTGGACTCAAACTGCAGCACGAGCAGAAAGACCAACGAGGTAAAAGATGAAAACAATTATGAGTTTCCTTCATCTACAAAGTCCTCTGGTGCTTGGAACGCAGTCTTTGAAGGGACGGTGCAACGATTTTCGTATTTTGGCCAATTAATTCCGGGAATTGGTCTAAGCAAGCAAGAAAATTGGTCTAAGCAAGACATAAAATAAAAAAAACAAAAATTCGAGGGTTTTTAAGGATTTTTAAGGGCCTGTAAAGATGCAGTAGAACCTCGAGGATACCTTCCCGGTTGATACGTTTTCCCGGATGTTACGTTCACAAGCACCGGTCCTGTTTAACTTCCATAGAGATACATGTACTAGTTTTCCGTCTGTTAAGTTTGATTTCCCGGTTGTTACGTCCAAAATCTGCCCCTCGGCACTCTCGAACCCGCGCTCCTGGGCCACGCGTGGCGGATTTTCGGTCTTCTGTTGGCAACATATGCCTGTCGGCCTCTTTGCTGGATTCTTCAAATTATCTAATTGAATCAAAGTCCGTTTGAATCCAGAACGGCTAGCGAGCGAGCGACGGCACGATCGGAGTCCATTTAGGATAGCCCAACCAGCTCGAAGATTTCGAAGTTTTAAAGTGCTAGTCTTTAGCGCGTGTTTTAGTTCTTGGATCTTTAACAGATTCCGTTCCTGTCGGATGTTTCGATGGAACTGATGGCAATGCGGTGGGCTCAGTGTGACGCCCCTTTCGACTTCGGGAGTGAAGCAAGAGCTGAGAAAAACTTGGTCGCTGCTCGACGTGAATGAGTGCAGTTGTCAGAAATCGTGCAGGAAACAATTTCTAGCAAAACAAAGGCACCGTTTTATTTCTGTTAGCCTATGCATATAGCAATATGAAAAGTTGTCCCTTGAGTTAGCAATTGCGGTAGCGCTTTAATCGGGTAGATATGGTATAGGTTGACTGCTAGTCCTAAACAACTGTGCCGAAAAAGAATGGCCAGCTACAGTATAGACCACTTACAACGTAACCGCTTATAGTGCAGGACCGGGTATAACGAGGTAAACCACCGGTTCACCTCCCATAGAACTCCATGTAATTACATACCGCTTAAAATGCAGGCGCGCGAAGGGAAATACCGGTTATAGTGCGGTTTTTGGCACAGCCTGCTGACCGCGCCGACGGCCGGAGCAGCGAGCTCGCTTCCCTGTGCGACACTAGATAACGGCGCTGACGGCGCGAGCGCGAGCCACAAGCTGCACTCGCGGGGCAAGGAGGTTGCTCGAAAACGCGGGGAGAAGCGAGGAGAGAGGCTTCAGTTGCCATAGCAACGGAGGGACGCACGCCCGAGTCGTTCACGTGCGTGCGTCCCTCCTCTGCGTCGGAAACAAAGAAACAAACAACCGCAACGACAGACCAATCGCAGGTCGAGGAAAAGTGTTCGCGCGCGTTGCATGCCGGTCGCGGGCCGGCTGCTCATGGCGTCGGTTGTGATCGTCGTAGGGTGCCTACATGTTTCCGCCACTCCGTAGGCACCCTAGATCGTCGTCGTAGACGGCGTGCATCTCATCGTTCTGCGTAAAAGCGCTATCCTTGACTGTGAATTTTCGTTGTGTGTCGCTATGATAAACCAGCACGTACTAGAAGGGAAGATCCACCTACTCGTGCGGCGATGTCGTGGCGGCACTCTCAAGACAGCAGAAACGCCCGTGTCGTTGTGTTTGTTTACTTCGACTACAGTGGTGATTTCTAAGCATTTGTGTCCTCGAACATCGCCCGGATTTCTTATATGGCGCATTTCATGCGTGTGCTCAAGTTCAAGGTATTACTGGCGCGTACCGTATGAAGGATGCGAATTTTCACGCGTTTTCATCTCCGGAGAAAAGTGATTAGGGTTAGCAATCCTGAACGCTCGCAACGTCCGTCCGCAACCCGCGACGCCGTTAAAAGGCTGCGCCAGGCAAAAGCCGCTCATTTCTTTCAAAATGTGTGACACACTTGAGACAGAACTGTACTAGTCTGGTAAAATAAAGACTTTCCTCAAACTAAGCTTTATTTTTCATCTAACATAAAATAAATTCTTTTACAAAGGTAAGTTGTCTCATGGCATGTATTTTGGCCTGAAAAATTAATGTTTTCGTTATACCGTAATATCCCGAGTCATCGCCCATCCCCGAGCCATCGCCCACCCCATTTTTTGGTCCAATATCGATTTCCGAAAAAACACCGAGTCATCGCCCACCCCTTCAAATACCCCAGCGCGGACTCTGCGATCCGCGAACACTCATCCTACCCGAATGACGCGGCCGCGGACCTTACAGTTGGAGGACCTCCGTGACAAAGTAAAACGGAGGAGGGAAAGACACTTCTTTTTGTTTACGCATTTCCTCCGTGAGCGACCCCAAAGTGGTCGTGTATCCGTGCGAAAAGAAAACGTGGAGATAACAAAATAAGTTTGCTAATGTAACCGCGGAGTATTAAGTCAAAGTCTCTCCGCCGAAGTAAGGACACCGCGAACCCGCTCCTTCTTCCCGCACGTCGCGACCGCGGTTGTGCAATATTTTAGGCAAAGCCAACGCGTAAATAAAGCTTTGCTGGAACGCCCTACACAGACGTTTGCAGAGCGTCCCAACCGTGCATTGATAGCCCGCCGTGCACGGACGCACGTATGTACGCACCAAACCGCAAGAGCTTGCGATTGACAAGGCGCCCGACTTGGCCCGACGCCAAAGTATTTGCCAACGCGACCGCCGGCTTTCCCGCTTTCCCAGGTTTGCTCTTGGTCGCTTCTTTGGTCCGCTCGCTCGCTCGCTCGCTCGCTCGTTGCGCCAGGTCGGTTTTTCTATTTTCTTGTAGACTTTTCTTTCTTTTTTTTTTTTACTAACTAGGAGAACATAGTGGTGACATTCTTTCACGAAACAAACGTTCGCGCTAAAAGCAGATCGGCGGTGTTTCTAGCGCGTATGCAAGCAACGGACTTCGCTATAGTAAAATATTCTTTCGTGAGCATTCTTTTCTATAAAACAATGAAACTAAATCGAGTTTTGAGTTTGATGTATCTCTTGTGCATCAGCGCTAGATACGCAGAGAAAAATAGGCGGTTTTTTCCGCTTTTTTTCAAGTGATTGTGCTCACCCACCGAGACATGGCCCACCCCACTTTTTAATGAATTTCAGGCGGTAGGGGGGTGGGCGATGACTCGGGATATTACGGTAGTGCGGTACCGCTTATAGTGCGGATTTTCGCGACTTCCGAGACATACGTTATATGTGGTCTACACTGCATATGGTAACTGACACGGTATTTCCCCGAACCCCCAAAAGTCATTCCGGAGTAAATCCCAGTTTGAGGGCTGCTTCCCGTCACATCTGTAGCCCCACCAACAGCGTTATCGGTTGTTACGTTTTCCCGGGTGATGCATATTTCTTTTTTACACGGTCCCTGAAAAACGCATCAACAAGGTTCCACTGTATTTTCAAGGACCCCTTCCAATACTCTATCTAGTACATTTATAACATAACTTTTTTAAATGCTCCGCGAAATTTCTGCATTGCACGATACCTAGGAAAAGGATTATTTGCCAACGAGGTGCTACTAAAGGGTTCAGTAGAGCTACTGCAGCTTTTCCTTGATTTCTTTGCTGATTTTTAAAAGTTTTCGCATTTTTGTTTTCGCCGTCTTCCTTAGGCTGCTCGACTTGACAACGTTGGTGATGCCACCTTTTGCCTTTGCTTTCTCCGAGTCTGCAGTTTCACCATCCCAGGCATCGCGCACGAGTTAACTATGTCCGGATGGGGAATAAGCACTAGCAAACAGCACACGAGAGAATAATACGATTGAGGGGCACGATCGCAAGATGGCAGACGGGCGGGACCGGATCTGGAACCACCGGGAGTGCTACCATTGTGGCGAGGTGCTTGAAGGCCGACATACAACCTCGGCTTTCTGCAGGGAAGATAATTCTCTTAGCGCTCCCCTCTCCCAAGCTGCGAGGGGGAGCCAGGTTGGGGCAAGGTAAAAAGTGGAGAGGATATAGAAAAGGGGGAGGCGGGCAAAAGTGGAAAGTGCGATGTGTACGTCGGCCTTTAACGGGCATCCGCTAAATGTGTCTAAATGTGCCATATAAGAAAACTTCCTCGTTGAAATTTATGTTTAGACGTGGAAAGAATATTTATATTTTATTATTGTAAAAAAGTTTCATTATTGCAAAAAAAACAACAACAAAAAAAACTGACTATCGAGGGAAATTTAAGTTTTCTAAGGGCTAGAAATTCCAGGGCTTTCAAGGTCTGGAAAATGCATTTTTCGAATTCAAGGGTTTTCAATGTTTTCAAGGACTTGTACGAACCCTGAGTCTAGGTGACATAAACCCATTCAGGGATGGGCAGTATTTCAAATACAGGCATTTGAAATACGTATTTTAAATACTTTGTGTATTTTGCATTTGTATTTAATTACAAATTCGGTAATGTATTTGACGTGTGTATTTAAATACTAAAACGTGGGTATTTCAAATACAACTGTAATTAAATACAATTTTGTGGGCGAAAATACATCCCTCAAATTTATTGTCACTGTCCAGAGCAGGAAGAAAACTATGTTCTGCACCGAATGCACTGTCTCTCAATCAAGCACAAGCGCTCAGTGTCTTTGTGATTACGGTGCTCGTTCAGGGCAAGAATAGTGACGAAATCGACGTTCACAGGCAGACTGGCTAAATAAGTGCCTGTGACAACTTGTGATGCTTTCCAGCCTGATTTCAATCCATATTTTTGCCTGGAACATTCTAAATGCGCCGGTCGTCTAGATTTTCGTAACTGGTGCGAGTTGCAACAAGAAAACATTCTCTAGCTAGCGCTGCGCGTCTTGGTCGTCTCGGTTCTTTGTTGGTCTATACCAAAATGTAATCGACAAAAAAAGCTGCTTGAAGCTCTTCTTTTTTCACCTATTACGTCCAAGCTGATTACATTTTTTTGTGATCATATTTCTATTACGTTACTAGAGCCTCGCACACTAGCTCACAAGTGTGCGGTGCATAATTAAAATGGGATACCCAGAAACCCGTTGCAGGTGCCCTGAAGTCGCTGACGCAAATTTTGCGGAATGTATTTGGAAAAGTATTTGGAGGCGACCAAATACATTTGGTTGTATTTGTATCTTGTACTTAAATGCTTTTTTGGAAATGTAATTAAATTTGTACTTAAATACATTTTTGACGAAGTATTTTGTATTTGTATTTCGACACATATTTGCATGTATTTTGCCCATCCCTGAACCCATTGAAGAAAAGAAAACCAATTTTATTTTACCACGTGCTAGTTTTTCTGTTTTTTTTTAAATCAAACAAATTGAAGGTAGAAGCTCGTGCCACCTTTTGATCCCTGCCCTCCCTTCGCGATTGATGACTTTTCAAGACCCGATTTGGCTAAAATAGAGCACCGCACCCGCTTTGCATCGTCAGAGGTCGTGGCGAGTGATCTAAACAAAAGAAAGTTTGCCACGGGAGAAGATGGGGAGGGCAGAGCTGGGGAAACTTTGGTCAGTCTATGATCTCGCCGCCGTAACGCTCTCCTCCCGAGCGAGCCAATCAGCACGCGGCGCAGAGCGAGAGGCACGAGCGCATGCGCGTGCCTCTCGCTCTGCTCTCGGCTGCTCCCAGCTGAGTGGGGAGGGCCGCCATTTTTGTTCATTCTCCCAACGGAATGCATGGGATCGGCATCTAAATCTCGATTAATTCTTTTTATAAAGCTGTCTCTGGCAAGAAAATGATATACTGTTATTCCTCGGTGGGTTAAAAAGCTAATGAAGTTTTCTCGACGTATAGCCACAAACTTTTATTCAGGCGAAAAAGAAGTCAACCCGTAGCAGACGACGCATAGCCTCAGCAGTGCTCTTCTCCCCATATACGACTCTGCCCTCCCCATCTTCTCCCGTCCTAGCGCCTGTCCTGTCCACTTCTTCGTCTGTCCTCGTCCTAGCGCTATTTGTAATTTAGTATGTATAACCAACTAGCCCGCCAGAATATTTTAATTCAGCTCTTCTCCGACCACAGTCTCCGACAGCGTTGCGAAAAAATGGCGGTCGTCTCCTCTCTGCTCTTTTCTTTCTCTCCCGCTCCTTCGGCGCTCTCCCCCCTTTCGTTTACTTTGCTCCTCTCCGTCGCCTTCGTCGCCACACCCACTGGCCAAACTCCCACAATATACGGCTCTGGGGGAGGGTGGAGGCGGAGAGAAAGCGGTTTCCTTGCCTTCCGACAGATGGCGACACAAAAGCTTGTGTACACCGAACGACATCGCACAGTGGTTACGATAACTGCCACACGCGGCTGCGGATCGGAAAAAAAAAATGCTTTTCCTCAGCGATTATGCAGCGAAATCACAGTATTTTTGGGGAAGGTGGCACATTTTCTCTCACTTGTGCCAAGATAAAGAGTATACAAAACACAAGCTGCAATTTCTTTCAAACGGTTGCTGCAATGCCCCTTTAAATAGAAACTGAAGTGGTTTTGTATCTGAGGAACAACTTAAACCGTCTTTATTTGGCCACGAGGATCACGAATATCGAGGTTACTTTTCAATTTGGTGCAAGGAGGCTGCAGATATTCATTTTCAAATGTACCGCTGAAGCCCCTCCTTCCCACAGCATGACGTCATATCAGCAGTTTCCGCATTCTCCAGTCTCGCACATCTTCAGCGGCTATCGAAGCTCTATGCACGCGCATTCTTGGTATTTTCGGAAAGGTTAGAAAATGACGTCACGACTGGTGTCAGCGCGGGGGAATATACCTGGCAAGCTTGCGACTGCACGTGCTACCCACACGAGCGACACGTGCTTGGAGGCCAAAAAATCTTAGTATGACGTAACGACAGGTCAAAGGTTTTTCGTGTTTTCTGGCGTTTAGTTAAATCTTCGGGAAAAATAAATGTGATATTCAGATTCAAGGAATAAAAAAGCTTTAGAATTCACCTCTAATTTTTTTTTTTTTTTTCAAGAACCTCTTCAGCTTTTTTTTAAGAAGGTTGTCATTTTAATTAGTTTGGAAGAGATTCGACAGTCATTTCTGGGTGGATTGAAAAATGTGTTCTTTATTCGTTTGCCTGCAAAATTTCCCATTGGTCAGTTGTGTCTTATGACTGAGAAATTAGAGAGGCACGAGAAACCAAACAGACATTTTGTAAAGATTCACCTCACCCAGAAAGTTCCCGCCTATGCAAGGTCACCATAAATACAGTGTCTGCATGCAATAATCTGAGCTGATAAAAAAAAACACACACACAAAAACAGCTTTTAGAGAGCTAGAATTTTCTTCGCAATATATTGACTTTCAAAAAGCATACTCCTTTTCGTAGAACATCCTGCAATAGTGAAAATAAGAGACTTGCCTTTCTCTTTGCTTTCCGCACTCTGACATTCTTCTCTTCCTTCAAGGTTCCGGCAAACTTGCCGTGCGACGCGGTCGAAGACTTCGCCAGGGTTACCGCCGTGGCCACCTTGACATAAAAAGTGACGCCGTTATTTTTCATCCCTTCGTTTTCATGAAAACAAAAAAAATTTCAAACATCTACGCAAATTGTGCTGCAATTGACAACGGTAGCTGCTGCGAAGGAGATTCAGCCAGTGTGCTCATACAATGTTCGCAAGGGGTTCTTTCTTTTCAGTGGAATTGGTGCAGGAGGCGTGTGTGAGGAGATGTGCACTTTGGTGGAACGATCGTGCGAGATGCTGCACGTGTTAGGACACAGGGACGTGCTGTTCTTTGGCCGAAACACTCTTTTAGAACGGAGGCAACCGTGACCGCGCCTGCGGCGGAAGAAGCGAAAGTATGTATGAGGGCGGAACTGGGTGGCGGCTGTGGGGAGGCGAGGGAGCGCGTCCGCACGGCGCTACCGCAAGGGTATTCTGCAACGGCGGAGGCCGGAGAGGGGGGAAGACAGGGTGTCACGGAAGGGTACGCGGATGTAGCAGGAAAGATGGTCTTTCGGAACAGTGGAGGCCTACAGGGGGAAGGAAAAGGGAGAGCGAGAGAGAGCCTTGCCGTGTGTGAGAAACGACGGGTAGAGGGAGAGTGGCGGCTCTGCTGAAGGAGGGGCTTTGTGCTCGTACATGAGCATATTTTGTCGGGAATGGGCACTAACAGCTACTGCTGGAAAACAACAATGTAAGCTTCGTAAGCAGAAATTCATATGCTATTGAGTGTTTGGCACATGGTTATGCACCAACGAGTGGCTCAGTAGCGCAGAAATAGTGCTTAAACTGGAAGAACATCTTACTTTGGGAGAAGGACTGATAGGGAACTCGGAAAACCCCCGAGGAGACTTAGGAAACCTAAGGGTGCTGAGGAACCCAGTGCAAGAACCCACGATGCAGAGAATTAAATTCCTGTGGCCTTCAAAGGACCCAAGAGATGCCAGTAAAGAAGAAACGTTGCCGACAAGCTTCAGTGCGCCTTTGCACGTGCGAAAGATCACTGGGGCATGAACACGCACGCCCCGAGGCGTGCGCGTTTTTATTTTTGGCGTTTTTTCCCGCGCTCACCTCCTTGCTTCCTTTGATCGGTGACGTCAAAAATCAGGAAATTTAGAAGCTTTGTAGGCGACATTTCTATAACATTTAATAACGGCAATCAAAAACATGTTTTGTAACGCAATTGCGAATGCACTAAGACCCCTCTTTTTGAAATACCAAAAATCAGATTTCGGTGCGATGTCGCTTCCTGCATTTGTATCCTCCCTCGGAAAACTTGGCGGCGCTCGAGCAGAGGCTTATCGCCGAGTGGGGGAGAAACCGGTTTTTCCCCGCGCCGGCACCCTTCTATCCCGCCTGCTCACCTCTTCCTCGCTTCGGGTCGCGGTAGCAACCGCGCTTTGCTTCACGGCGTGGAGCAGAGGTCCGAAAGAAAGTCGAGTCGCAGGAGACCGCAAAATTTGACTCACTGCACTGGTGCGGATCGCGCGGGCACTTCAAATTCGGCATTTGGAAATTGCTTTTTTAATTCACAAATACTGAATTCCCAAGTTTTGAATTTTGAGGCTAGCGTCCCGGCATCGTTTTCAATCATTTCGGATAATAAAAAAAAAAAAAAAATGATTTTGATGTGTCAGTGCCCCTTTAAGACTGCTTACGTGCAGGACTGCGAAAGTACTTCTACGAGCATCGCGCCACGTCCCTTTTCACACGGCACTCCAGCGGCGACACCATGCTCCACTCATGCACGTAGACAGGATTTTGTTTCAAGGGGGGGGGGGGGGGGGGGGGGGGGGTGCCCATGACAAAATGCTGTATAAGGGGGAGAGGAGAGAGGAAGTCCCAGCAAAATGGAAAATTTGAAGGGGGGGGAAGCGGGGGAGGGAGCCCCCCCCCCCCCCCCCAGCAACGTGCCTAGCTCGGCCACTGCGCAGGTGCGGCGAATCCTGCCAGCTTCACACCGGCTTCCGTGACGAAGCATCCGCGTTGCTGTGCTTTTCTTTGCATTTTATTTCTGAGGCACATGCTTGATGACGTATTGGTGTGACCCCGTTTCGGGCACAAAGCCGACGCTTTTCCGCATAATGGGACAAGTAAGGTTTTCGCCTTAAAAAATGAAGAAACAACTTTACCTGGTCTTTACTGAGGTTTTCTGTCGGAGGAAACAGGTTCTTGGGAACTGCGCATGGCAAAAGCAGAGAGCAAAGATGTTACACCCCACCAAAGACATATGCATTAAGAAAATAAATAAATAAATAAACAAAACTACTATCAACAACAGCTACTATTATGCAGTATCGAAAGGTAGATCTTTCATTATAGTGTTTGGTCTCTAAACTCAAAGAGTCGCTTTCTCAATGCACACTGCGAGGTGCATATGTCAGGTGAGGGAGACGGGCACCGTAGCTCTCCGGTATGCATGTCTAGCATGACCATGTTTTAAGCCCAAACCGAGTGCTGGCTGTTCATTTCTGAGTTAGCAAATTTGTTTTGAAAAAAAAAAAAAAGTTGTGAAAGCTTCACTAATGCAGTCCGAGCAGGCGGGTTATACGGCCAGCGGGAAATAACCTACGGCGCTACTCGTCAAAATAAGTAGGATAAATAACTATGAATTGATAACACTTCTTAATTATTGAAAATAAACATGTGGTTCCAATAACAGACTTTCTGAGCATCATTGAAAATCACAAGGTCAGCCGATCTTAGAAAGACTTCGAGCAGACAGGAAGCGCGGGGTTGCGCACAAGTCACCATTCCTGCAACAGGTGCAAGGCTAGAGGTGCGAAAGCACAGCTTACTTTTCCTGAAATCTTGAAATTCAGTGGTTTTTGATGAAGCTCAAAAAGTTTCCAATTGTAATCGTATGTTTGCTTTAACAAACTAAAATGTTCAGAAACAAATTTCAGTTAATTATCCGACTTATCGTGGCTATTAGCCCCCCACCCCCCCCCCATATGTCTCCCTGGTCGTATAACCCGCCTGGACAGACCTCATCAGTGCGGCGCTCGCGGCTTTTTTAACCCTTTCATGATCACTGACGTACCTGTACGTCAGCGCGGGAGCGTCCTGCATGGTTGCTGACGTCCATGTAGATACCGTAAAATACCGGGCAAGCACCTACTCAAAATTTAGAGATGATCGCCAAAAAATGGGGAATGGGCGCTTGTTTGGTCATCAGTTTTACATATAAATGTACTGTGCATATTTTCTCAGATCTTAGAAATTTGGATATCGGCGCTTAATGTGGAATGGGCGGTTGCATGGTATTCCACGGTATGTCCGGGACTTAAAGTTCCAAAATTCCCACCTCTGCTTGAACGGGTGGGATCGCTGGGACGTGCTGCCATCTGGTAGGCTTGTAGGGAACTACGACCAAATAACTCCGGCCGAGTTTGTTTTGGCGCGGCTCTTTGAAATTGCGAAACTGGACGCTCAGCGATACTTTTGAGATGGCTGGGCGTGCCGGCTGCTCTGGAGGTAGCGTAGTGGAGATTGCATAGATGGCTCTTCGGGTTAAGACTTTGAACCCTTCTCTGACTCTGAGTCGGATGACAGCCCGACATCCGACCAACAACTGGAAACTAGCTGGAAGAAGTCGGAGTCTGGAGTCCGACACACAGCCGCACCGTCTGCTAGACCGTCTCGGAAGCAGGCGCCTCGAAGTTTTAGTCCTTTTTGTTTTGTTCAGCCTCCAGTGAGCATGCCGCAGATGTTTTTGAAGTGTGTGTACTATTTATATTAAGTTTTACATTTTTTTATGCAACCCGACCACGGGGGTGCGTTTTTAGACAAAAAAGGCGACCATAAAAGGGTTAAAACAAATCTGCAAGGCCTAACACAAACACACTGTACGGCAGCCCCGGCACTATTACAGTCGCTCTTGTAAACAAACTAGCCCTGAAAAATTATCTTTAGAGGTTTTGGTCTGGAAACTCCACCTATTCAGACCCCAGTAACTTTTTCCCGTGACAGGTGTCACTGACTGCCACAGATGTCATTACGGACTGCGAGAATAACAAGAGAAACCAAATGGCCGCAAGAACTTGTTACCGTAATTTCCTGAGAGATACCCCACCCCCAAAAAATAAGCCGCCCCCTATTTTTGGCCATATCTGCTATTTTTCCAGAAACACAGAAAGGAAGTCCACTTTCAGTACTTGCAGGGCCCTGGCCAATGGTGACCTTTTTAAAAACTGTGTTACTTAACCACGGCGGGAGATAAGCAAACACAGATGACCGTGTGGGACGGCCGTCTTTGGTTCATCGTCCCTTCCTACGATAGCAAGTTTCGAGGGTCACAAAATCTAAAATTATTTAAACTTTTCTTTATGGCACACCAAAAGTTAGCCCAGCCCCTATTTTCAACCAATTTGCTATCGATTTTAGGCGGGCTATCTCTCAGGATGTTATGGTAATCTGTTTTAATATTTTCGTTTATGCCGAAAAGAGCATGTACTGCTCGTGCAACTGGACAGATAGCATGTCGGTGCCATAATAGTCACAAATGGGATTAGAATGGCAGGGAGGTTGCTCGGCTATCCCAGCTTCAGCAGGATCTTCTCCTACCTTCAATAACGCATCAACGTCATGCAAACCTCGAGCGCGTGCGCAGCCTAACGAAGACGTAAGGCAACGAGCGCTTGCTGGAGGTCGGGCATTCGAAGGTGATACCCCGTCGTTCTCATCCTGCCAGTGACTACAGTAGTTACTGGTTCCTACGACAGAGGATGAAACCAGACCCCCATTCCCGCTTTCGGCGTCTGCTGGGTTGTTGCGCACGTTGACAGCCTGGACAGGCTTCTGAATACACCGGCGTGGGTGGCTGTAAACTATGCGGTCCCTTAAAACGGCTTTTCGAAAACTCTCCGAGAATTTGACGCAAGTGTGGTCCTCCTTGTACGCTCTTGGCTCGACCCAATCGGTTCTCCCTACTGATGAGAGCGTAACTCCGGTGGTTCAATTTGTCCGTGGGAAAAGCTCTTTGTGGTGTGGAAAAAAAGTTTTCAAAACAGAGGTGTCACATCTAGATTTGACTGATACTGCTGGTATAAACACGTACACAGTCTGCTGAAGTGTGCAGTTTACTATAGCGCTAGAGAAAAGGATACGAGCAGTTGATTCGGGTTTGGCAATTTGTATCGGAGAGTCGGCTGATCAAACGAAGGCGCGATCGTCTCACCTTTCGCCTTGCTGTTGCGAGCGATGTTGCGCAGACGCTGGTATTCGTTTTTGGCCACCCGTTCCTTCTTCTTCTCCTTTAGCTCACCGACATAGTCAACGTATGGATCTGAAAGGAGGGAGCGTAAAAGCTTGCAGCCTGTTATGGTCATGCGCGACAAATCGTCACACACAGAATAGGATTTTTGGCTGGTAAATCTCAATGACATTGTTTATATGGCCAGACCAGTGGCGAGACTTCCTAACGACGACGTCATTGGTTGCCACCATGGTCACATGGTCGCACATACCAGTCAGTAAGAGGGAGGCGGCAACTGCGAGGGAGCTCCACTGCCACGGAGAATGAGCATTGGCCACCAAAGTCCAAGTTGTTCCAATTCAAAGAAATCCCTTTAAGTTGGCCAGCGAGACATTGCCCCCAAATTTTCCACACATGGTCACATGACTAGTGTTGATTGTTCTTTTATGTCACTCTTTTCCTGCATAGCCAGCCCTATAATGTATTCTATGCTAAAAAGCAAAGAAGTGAAAAAAGTCGGAAGTGCTTAGGATGGCTTGCTGCATAATGTCGATCCGGCAATCTAGTGATTCCTTGTTGTTGATATATGTTGACTATGATGCAGGTCTTAAAGGGATACTGAACCGAAATTTGGATTATGCAAAATAAAGCCGGAGAAGCGTTGAACGGGACACTACGAACTTCAAAACATCACTCATACATTGATATCTCAAACAGATGGCCCTACTTTTGGAAAAGAAGGGCGCGATCAAGCGAAGTCTTTGACGTCATTGTCCTCCGGGAGAATTTGAGAATGAGGGGAAGCGGCCTCGGTTCTCTCCTCCTCACATCGGTTCACCAGCTCGACGGGACGTGGCAAGGAGAAGAGGGAATGGGAATCGTGACGTAACTTGTCTCGTTGGCCGTGTTTAATCGCGCACTTCTTTTCCAAAAATATGGTGATCTGTTAGAGATATCTCCGTATGAGTGATGTTTTTGGGTTTGCAGCGTCCCGCCTATCCATCTACCCTTGTTTTGTGAGCTCGAAATTTCGGTTCAGTGTTTTTTGTAGAAGCTTGTTTAAGATGGGGCATATCGTTTGTTGGGCTTTAGTGAATAAAAATGACTAGTTTGAGATCACAAGACGTCTTAGTAGACTCGCAGCAATAGAAATACACGGGCACTATTTTCTCTGGGAGGAAAGGTGCCATCCTTGGGTCCCCCCAGCTCCATAAAATTTGACCAATGAATAGAGCCCTGCGCGGATAACAGTTTGATTATCCGCATCCGATCCGCAGACTTTGAATACGAGTCCGAACCGCATCCGCAAACTTTTTATATTATTGCATCCGTATCCGATCCACATACTTTGTATCCGTATCTGGACTGCATCTGCAAAATGTGGAACTGCATCCGACTCACAATCCAGGCATTCATCGTATATCATAACATCAAACGTGAATGTAAAAAAAAAAAAAAAACTTTTTAAGCCGCACGGTGAAAGATGTGGTTGTATTGTCCCAGTTTTAATTGTTTTATTCTTTCATCCATCACTTTTTAAGCGGTTTGCTTATCTTTGTACAAAGAAATCTTCGGGGCACCATTCAAAGGGGATGTCATTTTATCATTACCAGTTTCATCCTATTTATATTAAAAGCGATCAGCCTTCCCGAGATACTGCGCATTGAAGGAAAACTTATCTCAGTTATGTGATCGTTCCAGGAGTCCGCGACACTCTGGCCAGAGGAAGCGTACAAAAAGAAAAACAAATATATATATATATTTAAGATTTTTGTTTTTGCTCTGTAACACTTATTTTATGCAGACGCATACTTTTGAAACATGAAAGTTAACATAGGGCATACTATCTTCAATGAGAATCAGATCTTTCTTAGGATCCCTATCCTTTCTTCGAAACGTGTCTTGTGGAAATATGTTTCGTGGACAACTTTTCATGGACACACGGTTCATCCACGCTGTACATTTTCTGGGCACATGCCCCTGCGACGTTTTGTAGACAACGCATTTCTTCACCAAGCCGCTAAAAGCTAGCGCGCGATTCACTAGCGCGTGCTTAGCCAAACCATACTTCCCTCTCCCCTGTAATCCAGGCGAGACGCAAAGTTTGTTACGAAAATAGCAGGATTGCGTGCGACTAAACGTCCCAGGTTCTTCGATGAAACAAACACGGGAAGCCTTTCGATCAAACGTCGCATGTCGATAAAACAGTTTGTTGTTGGGCGAGTTGGTGAACGTCTGGATACATGGTTTTGCGCAAAAAAGACGGACATAAGTTTTTTGTTTGTTTTTCTCTCTTGTGTCTGTCTTTTTTCTGCGCTTGTGTTTGTTTTTCTCTCTTGTGTCCATCTTTTTTGCGCAAAACCATGTATTCAAACGATAAAACGATCTGTAAATGAAACGTCAGCCGACGAATTTAGATCCAGATCCGCAGATCTCCGCATCCGCAGCCCGATATCCGCACCTGATCCACAATCCACCAAAATCTGTCTAATTTTTATCCGCATCCACCAGTTCACTGCGGATAACCGTGCCGCGGATCATCCGTGGATATGCAGGGCTCTACCAATGAATATAGTAAATTGCGTGGGGAATCCGAACGTTAATGTTATTTCTCTCCATAGGTGCATTGTATAAAACATCAAACCTTTGGGTGTAGGGGTCCTAACACAGTAATTATTAGGGAGTTTTAGAATAACATTTGCAATTTTAGTGCATGCTAGCGCTAAATTTAGCGCTTGCGTTAGCGCATGCTACTCAAGAGAGTTTTGAATAGCGTTTCTCCGCCACAATACAAAGCCCAAGCATCTCGCGCTTGCAATGCCACCAAGATACAGTCCCAAATTTTATTTCACACAGGAAAGGCTCTAACTTGAGAAAAAAAACAAGTGTTTTTGGTAAAGAGTAACATTTTAGATTTGTTTAAACATGAAAATGCCATGCGAGCGGTCGACTGGTCGTGTCCGCTTGCATTGCCTAGGCAAGAGGTCTCGTGTACTGACCTTCGCACATCATACCTTCACCGAGAAATGTTTGCACGTTGCAAGCGTCAAGTTGCCAGTGATCGTTGCAAAACCGAATGCAATGTCATCCCGTATTGAAAATTAGAATTGTGAGGATGCCGCCGACGTTACGCTCACGACACCGCCAAAGCGGCCGCAGACTCCGCAGACATGTTCCTGGGAGCCGCCTTTTTTAACTGTGCATGTCTTGGCTTTAGCCAACATCTCATCAGGAATCCTCCTTGGAGGAGTGCAAAGACTATTTGATTATGCACACAATTTCCGAAAAATAGTGTATGCTAAAATAGCGCACGCAAAGCGCAAAACGTGGTTAGCGTTTGGCGCATGCGCAGTGGCAACGATGCTATTCTCTGCGTACACAAAGCTTTAGCAAGCGCTATTCTAAAACTCTCTAAATGTTTGAAAAACCTGTCCGACAGCACCCCCTGGTGTCTGCTCCGAGGCACAGAAAGAGGGGCGTGTCCAGATCTTTGATTCGATTTTTAATAGAGAGATCGGCCACTCGTGAGTGTCATTTAGGGTCTTAAAGAGCCTGTAGCCTGAGTTATCACCATGAATAGACAACCTCAGAATCCACTTGGGTGCCCCTTCAAGCCTTTCAGGTCAAACGACTGAACAGAAAGTTAATTCCCCCCCTTGGAAACATGTGAAATGCATGAAGTCCCCAGAAACCACGAGCATTCTCGGACAAATTGGTCCCATTCCCCCACTTCACAACAACCTTGATGCTGGATTTATACCAGCAGAACATTAGTGAATGAGGGTGTGTTTCAGCTGCTGCCAGCACATCAACTGTACTGTATACCATGCCCTTTTCATTCATGCATTCCACAACACACAAACACACGAAAAAAGAAATTGAATACAACTGCGTTACCTTTCCCATCGGGCACTTCAACCACCCAGTTCTTTTGTTTCTCCACCAGGGCACGCTTGTAGCCGTACCTTGGCCTCCAGTCCTGTTGACGCACGAGAGAACAAGCGTCACACCCAAGATTCTCATAACACGATGCCTCGTCGTCTTTCGGATCGTGAAGGTCGCTCGGATGTCAGATTCGAGAACACTACAAGTTGTAGCGCCCACCGATCCGGACTGAAGTGACTGCAGCCTAGCTCTCCAAGCACACAGAAAGCGTGAATCTTGAAGGGAAGAGCAACCCACCTTGATGGTTTCGTCCCAGACGAGCTTCTCCTTTTTGCGACGCTTGATGCCCTTCTGCCGAGCAAACTCGGACCACCTGGTTGCGGGCTTCGGCTTAGGGGGCTGCGAGAAAGCCATTGCGACGAGAACGCTTTTATCCCCCGGTCTCATCCTTTCAGTAACTATAATGTCCTAATAGTACCCCTATCCCAAAATAAAGCAGGTTGAGTGAAAATCCAATGCGAAAAATAATTAATTCTGTGCACGACACACACTTTCCAGACGTCGGTGTCAACGCTACTCGCACTGACAGTGTTAAGTACAGTGAAGATTGCTTAAGCGTTAACATATTTGAGAGAAGTCTCTCTGTCTGTATTAAAATTATGGTAAAAGAAAGTAACCCCAACTAATCTTTCATCATTATCAGAGAAGATTGCTGTAGGTTGCTTGCAGTATGTTAATTGTAGTGTTCCTTGCTCCCCTCTAATGTATACACCATCCACGTTTCGTTAAAATTAAAAAAAAGCAAATCAACTAATATGATTGTTTGTATTGTAAATGACTGTGTAACACAATTATGTAGAAAATCATCATATTCTTCACACTGTACTGGCGAAATGATTTTCAAGCTTCACACTGTGACATGAGATTGCGGTGTCACACTCGACAGGTTGTGACTGCTGTCGAATGCCAGTCCATATAGCAGGTGGGACGTACGAAAATACGTTCCTCCAGATGTTTGTTTTAGATCCGACCAAGGGGTTTTATTGGCGAAGCTCTTTAGGGTCTAGCCTTGACCGTACGGCGTTCGTGCTCACATCAATCGTGCTGGTGCTCATGCTCGTGAGCTCACGTGCTCGTGTAGGGCAAAAAAAATGATTAAAAAAAATGTATGCGCAGTCGACAGGAGTCAAACTTGTACGGGGAGACCCCAATGGATTTCTAGTCCATCGCCTTAACCACTCGGCCAGGACTGCGGGACGAGTAGGGGGCTCTGAGATGTGGTAGCAACTCAAGAGCTGGGGATGTCATGGATGAAACGTTGCATGTAGCCGCTCAACGTCTATACAGGAGAGGGCGCTGCGGTCAAATGCGTATATAACCGCGTTAAACTTTGCATGCACTGGCTCAACGTTTATACACGAGAGGGCGCTGCGGTCAAATGCTCAAATGCGTATTTAACCACGTTCCATACCACACATTCTCCGGAGAAACCGCTCCGAAGAAATTATACACATTTCTTCGGAGCGGTTCAGCCATCGCAGGGACACGCCCAGCGGGTTTCGAAGATACTCAGGTCTGAAAAATGGCGGCAGGTGCGTCTTCTTACTGACGTTTTACGTGTCAAATGCCCAAATCACTCTGCCTTTTCCTTTTACCTGAGGACGACCAACGATACTACAAACTTCCTTTGGGTTTCACGCTTTCTTCCGATATGGCGTCGTCATCTGTCCTTACATCGCCAAAACCAAGCGAATCCAAAATTGTCTCCACCCCATTTAATTGGGGATTTTGATCTAACTGCGCGGGCTAAACATGTTTTGGGGCACGGACCAAAATATGCCATTGCGCCTAAGCTTGAAGCCGTTGACCAAGTAGCGCTTGTAAGGAACATAGCTGCCAAAGCAGCACATGAAAGGAGCCCGCAGGTCATTGATGAAGGAATTCAGGTTTTTGCAAACCTTAAGCATCAAGCCCTCCCACGTCTGAGCTTCGGACCGACCGTACAAGAACTGAGAGGCAAAGATCTTAAACTTTGCCTTTCCGATAAGGAAGGAGGATTTGTGGTTCTTGACTCAGGGGCTTTTGGAGAGAAAGCTCTTCAAGCCATGGACAAGAATTTCGTTCTGGTGGATGTCAATAGAACTAAAGTAACAAAAAGAGCCATTCTCACGATACTAGAGAAAAATCATCAAGGGGGTTTGTGCTCCAAGATCAAGGCAGCCAAGATTGACCAGTTAACGGTGTTCTTCTCCGTCAAAACGCACAAAGAGGGAAGTCCGTTCCGGGCAATTATTTCGGAGAGGAACACGTGGCAAGCTTGCGTGTCCAAATTTCTCACCGAAAAGATCAACCTTGTTTTGATGCAAGACCCTTTCCGGATTTCCAATTCTGAAAATGTGATTTCTTTTCTTAAAGAAAAAGGGAACATCATCATTTCTGGGTTTTCGATGGACGTTCAAGATATGTACTACTCCATCCCGCATGCACGTCTATTACAAGTTCTTCGGTCAAACATAGAAGATCAAGGCCTCACGTCATTCCAGAATGCGGCAGGGATGCAAGTAGATACCTTCTTAGAACTTTTGGGCTATTACCTATCAGCCACGGTGGTAGCCTACCAAGATCGCCACTATGTGCAGAGAAGCGGCGTATGCATAGGATCCAAAGTGGCCCCACATCTGTGTGAAGTTTTTCTCGGAGCGTGCGGGCGTGCCATCCAAGAAAGTATTAAAGATCCAAGAATCGCGGCGATATTTAGGTATGTCGATGATTTCCTCATTTTATGCACTACAGAAGTTGATGATCATATCGACGGGTGCCTCAACAACATCCTGAGGAGTTTTCAGCACTCATGTATGGGGCTCACTTTCACGCATGAGCTTCCAGAGAGGAAAATCATCAAGTTTCTGGATTTGGTCTTGGAGTTCAGAGCAGAACATGTTTGCTGGAGATACCAAGCCCGTTCAGGGAAAGGGTTTCTCCCCTTCTCGTCGCAGAATTCAAAAACTGTCAAGCAGGCGGTAGCTTTCACAGCCCTGTTTTCTAGCCTGAAGAAATCCTGTGAGCATCAGCTCTCCCGAAGTTTTGAGATGCAAATATCCAGACTCGAAGACGCGGGCTACCCGCGACATGTAATTGCCTCCGTGTGCGAAAGAATTTGCCGCACCATCAAGACGACTTGCGGACGCAACGACCCTTCCACACAGCCAAAGAAGAAAAGAAGACCGTTTGTGGTTGTTCCATATATTCATGGGATTACGCATAGGTTAAAAAAGATGGCCAATCGACATGAGGTACAAGTGCTGTGTTCGGCGCCCAATAAGGCCTATTCGTTGTGCCGCAGGGTTAATCAAGGGCAAACCAGCAACGGCAAGGTTTGTGGCACCAATCACAGGACGGTTTATGCCCAGTGCGACAAGGAGGTTATATACCACATACCCCTGACATGCGGCCGCTGTTACATCGGCCAAACCGGGCGGTGTATAAATGATAGGACCCGGGAACATGCCAATAGCTTGAAGACCTTGACGGCAGCAGGTCACTTAGCCCTACATTGCCGCGACTGCAAGTGCAAGGCGAACCTAGACAAAGTTACCGTCATGGGGCACCATCGAAACCGGTTTGCACGCGAGGTTTTAGAAGCTTTAAACATACAAGAGAAAGGGGACATGTGTGTTAGTTCACCCTCTGTGACCTTAACCAGAGAAGAGAGAACGTTCTTGCGAGGGGAAGTACCGCCCACAAGTAGACAGACGAGGAGGATGCCTTAGTTTAATAATGAGGAAAAAGAGGAAGAAGTGAGGCAAGCTAGGTATGATTGATCCTAGCCTGTCGATGAAGATGAAGTGTTTCATTAAATTTCAGTTGGTAGTCCAGCGGTTGAATGCGTCTCTCTCGTCCTTCTTACATTTGTGTGCTTGGGTTGTTCAGCTGGTGTATATTAAGTATATTAAGCACACATTCTCTTTCTGACATGGACGAAAATGAATGAAAGGTTCGGCATGCTGCGGCTCGGCGTCTACGCAGACAAGCACCACCAGAGCTTCGCCCCAATCAACGTCAGTCACCACGTGGAGATGCGGTCATTTTTTTTCTACAAATTTCTTTGAAGGCCTAATACCAAATGATTACTTTAAAAATAAAAAAAAACTCAGATGTTGAGTGGTTCTAGCGTTAAGGTTCCCTGTTTTTTTTAGTTTTTTTTTTTTTTATCACTCACCGGTTTTTCTCTTGGAAGTCTAGTTGTACCGTCGGGCAACTGTGAGGAAAGAAATCCCCATAGGCTTTGACAACCAGTAACGAATCCACAGGGGGTGGCAAACCACGCAGCCACCATGCACCAATATGAAGAGAAAAGCAACAAAACACGAACCTTCGCGACAATGACATCCTCCACCCGTTCTGTAGGAAGCTGCAGAGAAAATACATCGCACGGAAATTAAGCGCGATTTCGTACTGTGAACCGACTTTGACAAGGAAAAAGTGCGAGCAATACCTCAAACAGCTTGTTGATCAGCAACTGAGTGTTACCCCTCGCCAGTTCTGTCAAATACTCTTCTCTGCTTTCGGACCTAGACTCCGCAGAGCGATCGGAGAAACAAAATTTAAAAGAATCAGCAGTTGCATACAAGGCGAACTACAAGATACTGCCGCGCAAAACACACTGCGTTGTTGGGACAACACGTGACAGGTGTTTACTTCGTCAAAGTAGGCGACTCACCTAAGTTTCTGCGCATCCAAAGGGTTTGGATCCGTGGCTAAGAGGGTACCCAAATCGAAAGCCAGATCCAAATCTTTTTCGACGTAAGTTGGCTTATATAATGCATCTTTTTCGGCAGCCTCGAGCAAAATCTTCTCTGCGAGGGCGGCCATCTTGGAAAGGTACAGGCAGGGTTTGCAACGTAGAGCCAAAAAAGGCTAAACTTAACAAACTCTACCTCTAAATTTTAGGCTAATATAAATTTTTTATTTTAAAAAAGACATATCCTAAAGTAAATTTTATATATTTGCTATGTTTTATTATAAAAACACCTACACACACCACGAACAAAGAAAACATTTTTTAGTACTCACCGCTAGGGCCCCAGCGAAGTCGGGCGGTTTAGCGTGCATTTACTACCAATCAAACTGACTGCTGCACTTTGCGTAACAGGTCTGTGATTGGCTACGTCTGCTGGCGCCGACCAATCCGAGCGTCGCTGAGAGCTTCGCTTTCTCTCCACCGGCGACATTCCGGCTGCCGCCGATTCCCGTGTCATGGGTTGTTGTGGTATGCTGCCGTTTCCGAGCGTTTGTGGATTTTCGACGAGCCACGGCTGAATCCTGCGTGGTGGATAATCGTGGATAATGCGGTGATACTGTGTCCCCACCCCAAGCCCGCGGTTCGTTCCTTGGTTTAGCCTCCTCGGAGGCCATCGTTTTTTGTCTGCATCATGAAGAAGCAAATCCTCCGAGTCAAGCAGCTCGCCGATCAAACCTTGCTCAGGTAAGAGGGGCGCACATTTTCACTTTCGAAACGTAATAGCATTAGTTGATCAAGGCCAAAGGTGTTTTCTCAGCTCGAAGAACTTACGCGACGCATTTCGCGCGTCCCAAAACCGTGGTCTAAGCTCCGAGTGCGTGCATTTTCGGGGCTAAAAGACTGCGCTGGGAGCCAACCCTGAGCTCGGTCTTCTAAGCGCAACCGAAGAAAAAGTAAAAACGCCTTTGTTGCGTGAAAACGTTCGAAATATGGAAATTCAATCAACTTTTACGTCCTGGTGGGGGTACAATGAGTATTGTCCGTGGGGCGAGATCGTTGCGGCGATACGCATGGGTGCATTTTGTTGCGCTGCAAGTTCGATCTGTGCTCTGTCCGGATCGCGTAAGGCCATACAGAAACACGGATACACAAAAACATGGTCGGCTGAAGCAAGTAAAGGCAGGCTATCGCGCATACAACGATCGCGGGGCTGATCATATCCGGTAGTTCCGGCATATTCCTGAAATGAGCGTAGTGGCCTACGACGAGTCCGTGCTGTGGGAGTGTTTGGTTATCCTTATTCTCTTTTTCGTGTCTTTGCGTTTGCTTGCGTAACAAGTGCGTCTGCGGGGATTCGTCACACCCAGACGCTTGCCTGACACATCGACGGATTCCGCTTGCAAATCAGCGCCGTGCCAGTTGCATGGGAAAGTATTCCGATTTCGTCTGCATACGTGCGTGCCGCACATTGGCGTGCTGTGGCAGCGGCACACTTTTTGTGCGGCGAAGCGAACGACACTCTCGTCACGTGATGCCATTGTTTTGGTAAAAAAAAAAAAAAGGGGGGGGGGGGGGGGGGGCCTTCGTGTTTGTTGTAGTGATTTTGCTCGATCTGGGGGACCTTTTTGAGTGGGACACGCCAGGGCAGCTCGGCCTAAATGTGCAGCCATTTATGTTTCTTTTCTTTTTTTTTTTTTGTGTGTGTGATGGGTAGGATTATTTGTTAAATGTTTGCTTGTTTATTTATGCGGGGGGGGGGGGGGGGGGGTAAATGACGCAGAAGCTGGGTTCATCGTGTTTTCGGCTCGTCCACAAGTGAGCTGCGAAACGGGTGTATGTATGTGTGGTTAGTGGTCTGGTTGGTGGTCGGCCTTGGGGAAGGACCTCCAGAGGTGAACCGCGCAAGAACCCAATGGTGGAGGGTAAGGGCAGACAGGGGCTACTACAAGGAGTAGGCAAGGGGAAGCCGAGGAGTCGGGCACTTCGCACACTTGAGCGGTGTATATTCGTGAATGCTCAGGGTTCCCGAGGGGTTTTTGGGTACGATTGTCGTTCTCTGTACCTGCTTAACACCGGTTATCCCGTTTAAAAAGCGAAAAAAAAAAGCTATCAAATGTTTGTATGACGTTGGGAGGATCACATGACCTCTTCGACCGCAGGTGGAGATAGTTACATCGTGTGGGCAGTATTTGCTGCGTCGCAAATCCCAGTAGGTTTAGAGACGAGCACCCTGTAAGTTGCGTGCCCGCAGGAAAAAGCCAGCCACGTAGTTCCCGTTCCGCCCCTTTTCTGTTATCGCGGATGAGCTGATGGGGGGTAGCCGAGCAGGGTTCGCCTTGTCGGAAATCTGAGTGCCCATTGCCGCTCCTGGGGTAATCTTTAGGAACATGTGCACTGCCCTCCTAGCAGATAAGAAATGATTGTGGCTGCGGGCAGTGAGCACTGCTCTTCCATTTTTTCCCCCCAAATTAGCCAAGGTGTTGCCTACCCTATCTGGGAGCTGCCGGGCAAGCGTTTATTTACTTATTTATTTACTTTTTTATCAAGGGCACCATGCAGTGCGCTGAAATTAGCAATTTACTTCGTAGTTTCTCAACTATGGCGTTGCATGCAATCGATTACAGTCTCGCTCCTACAAAGCTTTATGCGCTCTGTAATTGATGGTTTGCTTCTCTCCGCTTACCTTCTCTACACGCGAAATAATAAACACGTAGGAAGGAGCACAGGCCACGGCACTTTTTTTTAAAAGATGTGTTTTGTGCACCGTCTTATCTACTTTATTCGTTCGTGTAATAAACCTTACCAGTGCACTCAGTTTTTATTAACTCCGCCTCCTCTCCGGCGTTTGCTCTGCTAAGGTGGAAAGAGTGAAGGCCTTCTGGGAGGAGCTTTTCCTGCAGGTCTCGACCTACAACTGTCTATAGCTGCAAGGTTTAGGCGGTTAAGAGTTGAAGTTATCAAATCATTTTAGTCGTTCCGAGAAAAAGTAGCGAAAATTTGAGAAAAACGTTACTTTTTTTTTTTTCACTCTTCCTTTGGCATGTATGGTTCAATGACCCAAATGCAATAATAACATAGGCGTCGATAGGAACTCTAGTTCCATCATGTTTTTCAAACTCGCTCGAGGGCATCGTTCTGTGAGCCATCGTTGCTATCTTTTGTATACATTGAGATACGTCCACATGTGGAATGCTTTTTGACCCGTTGCCGCTTGCATCCAAAATAGCTTCCAACATATGCTTCTAAGTGTGATCTTTGGACGAGGGCAAAGCATTGAAACAACAAGCCAGAATTCACACGTATTACAGACAATTGTTGCGTTCTCTTCTGGCAGACTTCTCGCTGCCGGTATGCACGCTTGCTCTACGTGGTTCTTGTACGGGTCGCTAATGCGATTCACGCCGAGAGGTTCCTAGATGAGGCGTTTCTATTCCGTGGATTGCATGCCTGCTTCTCTCTTCTTCTAAGCGTTGTGAAAGATGGTGGGGGGGGGGGGGGGGGGAGGAGAGGGCCAATAGGTGTTGCGCACCGGGCGCTTGGTCGCTGGCTTTGCATGCCTGCTCATGTGCGTTTGGTGCTTTGATGGCTGCGATGCCGATTGGCTGGAGCGACAAGGAGGAGCGCGGAAAGGGTGACCCTAATGGACAGCGTTTGGGAGAGCGGGGACACTCTTATTTATAGCCGTTTTATGGGGGCGACGGTGGTGTACCCTGGCTTTCGTGCCGCGTGTGCGTCCATGTTTTGATCCGAGAAAGCCGTCTTGTGCCTGGTGGACATTTTTGTTTGGTTTTGATGAAGGAAGAACATAAGTAGGCAGACATGAATATGAGGAAGTTTTTTTTTGGGTGGGTGGTATTCTTCTGTCAGGGTTCGTGCTTTGAGACTGTTGTCTGTATATGAGCGATTTGTAGCTTTGCGTCCCCCATAACGTTCTGCGTTTGCGCATCATGAAATCCGCCATGTTTGTGCTTTCATGTGACCAATGTTGCGCTTTAGTTGATGTGGCAGCAACAGAACACACTGTAGGGCCCTATTGCGTAACGTGCATTACGCCGTGTTGTCGTATCCGCGTTCGTTTAAATTCTATTAATAGGGAGTTTTCGTAGATCGTTTTCGCCGTCCCGCAAGGCCCTTCGCAACCCGCTACGATAGCGGGAACTCCACAGTCAAGGCTATCGACGCGCAGGCGCAGTAGCAACTTCTTCGTTGCGGAACGCTTAGCGGAGGGGGCAGCGCGGTCTACGAAAACTCCCTAGTATTGCTGGTCAACGTAGTGGTTCTTGTGCAGAGAGTACGGACGTAGCGATGCGGTGACGATAGTCTTGCCGTCACCATTTGATAATAGGGAGTTTTCGTAGACGGCGTTTCCCCCTCCGCTAAGCCGTCCGCAAAGAAGAAGCCGCTACTGCGCCTGCGCGGCGATGGCTTTGACTGTAGAGTTCAGGATATCGTAGCGGGTTGGCGGAGAGCGTTCCGGGACAGCGGAAACGATCTACGAAAACTCTCTGTTGACGAGACAGCGCGCATGCGAATTAGCTGGATCTGTACTCCGCCATGTTTTTGTTTGGGATTGCATGTTGCTTCGAGTAGACGTCACAAACAGAAAAGGAAAGTGTACGCGACGCTTTTTTCTTTTGCGTCGCCGGCTGCTCGAAGGTTCCTCGGGGTTGCCAGTCTCCTGACCTTCCTGCACCTTAATAATGACTCCGCGGCGGCGGGGCCGCAGAGATGTTCGTGCCGACGTAGATGCGAAAGGTCTGGCCGTGGGGTTGTCTCGTTTTTCCGCCACACCTGCGACTCGTGAACAAATTACTCTCGCGTTGTTTTCACGGCGATGGCAGTTATCGACTGGGTTTCGCAGCGGATCCAACGCGTGTTTCAGTGTACGTCTACTACGTGACCCGCTAAGTTTAGCGGAACAAGTTTTGCCGCACAATTTAGCGGGAGTGTCGCGTCGTCGTCGTGTCACGTGACGTCAAGCTACATGACGTCAACATATTGTCGTTAAATTTAGCGGAAAATTTTCGACGTCGTGTGACGTGGCGTCACGTGATGTCGTGACGTCACCTGACGTCACGGTGCCGTTACCGGGACGCGCGAATCCAGTAGATTGAAACGCTGCGGTGTAACTGTGCAGCGTCTGCCGGGCGTCTCGGCTGTCGACGCAATCGTCACCGCGCAGTTTCATTCGCACGTCGCGACGATCGTTTGTAAGCGCTTGGTGGTCCCCCGTTTGTTGGCTTGTCATTGGCTTTGACCTTGTTTCCCGGCTTTGACGAGGATTTGGGCGGGGGCCGTTTTTCGTTTTCGTCGACGGGTTCGTCGGCCTCGAAGTGGTTTACCGACGTCCACCTCGATTGGGTCACGTGTTTCTTTGCGGGATTGATTATTATTATTATTTTTATTTTCTTCTTTAATTGGCGTTCTGGGTTACGCCGCTACGTCTGAGTGGTAACTCTTGGGGAGTTGGGCTAATGGAGATTAATACGCCGCGGTCGGTAGCCGGTTTCATTTCCGCCGCACCACCGTAATTTATTTGTTATATTTTTTATAGGATGCATAATTTGATAAGGGAACTGGATCGACTAGCACTCGTTGCAGCGGCTAACGTCGGAGGGAGTGTTTGTTTTGGGCAGCTGCGTTCAAGAAAGCCAAGGCTGTGTAATTGCGTCGTGTTCTTTTCGGTCGTAACGGTTCTTGGGGGTGCGGTTGTTTCCATTTGTCATAACCACATCGAGAAATTA